ACATCGAATTTTACTGGAGAAAACGACTTTAGATATTGATCTATACGTGCTTGGGAATCTAAATATAAACTACATTTTGAAATTCCCTATCGAGTTTTCCAACTTCAACCCGCGAGTTAGAGTTGAGAAAGTGTTTCTCTAAACTTCAACTCTACATTTTTCTCACATTTCGACGATCCGACCACTTCAAAGTCCCAATTACGTGGAAAATTGCAGTAATCATTGTTTATAACTCTGAAATTGAAGGACTTTGCAACATCAAATTGATGGATTGTGCACGGAAAAGAATATACTTGATTACAATATTCACGGAGAAAAAACTTCACTAAAAATTAAAGTACGGAACAGCCACGTAATTTTTAGTAATTATCATTTTAAACGTGAACGTTTTTGCATTATTTAATTTATTGATAGAGGATACAAACGTTGGAAAATCAATTATTTATATTAATGTACCCATTTCGAGAATATTCTTGAATTAAGTATAAAATATATATAATTCCATTTTTTTTTCTTGTGAAATAAAAATGAAATCCTAACGGCTTGTCCCTGTAAAAATAATTAAAGTCTTTACTTCACAATATTTTGATGAACAAATTAGCGAAATCAGACCAGCAGATGACACGCTTTAATGACAACAAAATAATTATTTATGGACTATGTGCAAATGATTCCATTGTGCAAAGTAAATGTCGACTGATTGGTTTCTCCACTGTTTGTTCCATTAGCTTTTGTAGTTTTATTGAGTTCCTGGAATTTTCCATTAGCTCCCATATACCTCGTAATCCAATTCCATACGATTTTGTTTCGCTGTATTTGGTTTTTGTTTTTGTGTTTACTCTCTTTTGATCCGAGCGTTGCGAAAAGCACGAACAGATATACGTTTGTTGTCGGTTCATTTACTTTCTTCCGGGGCAATCATATTGCCTAGATTTCATACAGCTGATAAAATGATAATACACTCCAAAGGTTATATTAATTCTTCGGAGTATTTCTTGTATAATTTATTTCCTTTCCCACACCACAAAATTTCCCTTATTTTTTTGTTTTTGATTTTGATTTTCGGAAAATTTTGTCTTTGAAAAATCGAATATTTCACTTTTATGTTCCGATTATCTGAATTCCCAAAAATTTACATAACATTAACTATCCGCGAAGAAATCCGCGAAGAAATGCCAATTTGTTAGTCATATTAAAAAAAATAAATTTTTTCGTGTGAAAATGAACAGATAATGGGAGAATTCAGGAAAAATTGAAATTCATGTGATTATCTTCCTGAAAATTCATGAATTTTCATGAATTCCACCTAAAACTTAATTATCTCCAGCCATTTTCCCGTTACATCCGATTCTACATCACTTTTATGAGAGCGCCTTTCACGTTTCTCATGAAATAGAAAAAAATTTCGAACAATGTCAGTAGTTCGTGATTTGTGGTTTTAGTTTCACTGGGGGATAAATCTTCCTTCTCACCGTCAAATTGCAAGGTATTAAATATTAACGAATGAATGTCACTGAGAAACGAATGAAGAGGAAACGTTCACCGGAACTTGTTGGTTAACTATGAATGAAAGCCTCCACTAGTAGAAGTGTTTCAGTGCACACCGACATTAGACTATTTTACCACAAGTCGAATACCTAAGCCCCACTGAATCTATAATTCCACCAAAATCACTATAAATTTACTCTCCGCAATATAAAATAAAATTACTTCAGCGTCATCTTCTCTCACTTTTTTCACTTCTCTCAAATTTTTCAAATTGCAAAAGTAAATCAAACCTTGAACTGATACAGCCATTGGAAACTTTTTTATGTACGGCCATTCTAAACACTATTAACCGATGGATGTTACTGAGGGGAGAATTTTCGAGGGAGATTTAACGGATACTTTTTCATCTGTGAATAGAGGCTTCCACCGAATAAGCTGAACAAGTGTTTCGCTATTTACTGAAACAAATTTTTTTTTCGACAATTTGCGGATCCGTTGGGAAAAATGCTTTATAAAAACCGTGAGGTTTTGGATAAAAAAGATGCAAAACTGAGATAGTTTGAATGGCCACGAAAAAAACTAGTTTATGAAAATTTATAGTTGGTTTTAATATAATTTAGATATATTTTTAGAACTTCTGGAGATTAATGTGAAAATTTGGTATCCAAATGGAAAAAATTCACGTGTTATCCAATAAAATGTCAGTACCGGCTCGGGAATTTTTCCCTGGGTGATACTTCGCGCCACTTTTCCCTCGCTGGCACTAGAATTTTTCCACATAATTTCCCTCTCGACAGAGTTCCTCTAAATCTCCATTTCCATCGAAAATTCCATAAATTTTTCTGTCCTAATTTCGAATTGAATTCGAAAAAACCTCGGCGATTTTCCCCACACGATAAAATTTCCCTCATGACAAAATGGAATTAACATCTCAACGAGTAGTAGTGATTATTGAGTTGATGAATTCAAACTCGAAATGATATATTTGAATGAGCGCAAATTGATATTTGTAGATATGGAATTAACATGAGCTTTATTAGTAGCTCGCAAATAATCCGCCAATTCACCGGAAATTGAATCTACCAATAAAACGGAATGAATTTTCCACATTTCCTCTATCAAATTGTTGTCCGTTAAATATTAAATATTCCATAAACCCAGAGCGAAATGGTTCAGAAAAATTTTACGAAACGATTACTTTGATCTATTATTTAAAGAAAATAATTTTTTACGGAATTTTCTGTAAAAAATTTCGATAGCACAACGCAAATTCTCGTAGTCACTTCCGGAATCGGAAAGCGAATTTAAGTTCCGCAATTTCTTTTGAATATTGTATATTCAATTGTCATTGAATATTTAATATCCAATTTTTATTGAATGGATGTACACAGTAAAATCCCGGTATAGTCGCTCTGGTGATATTCACACCCTTTATCAATTTCTTTTTTTGCGTATTTTTCGCTTTTCCTGCTGTACCACTTCCGGCCTTCAAGATATAAACAATTCATTGTTTCATTCCGTATGGAATTGAATTCCGTGAGAAATAAAGCCGAAAACCAAATTTAGATGAAAATAAAAATTCAAACTTTCGTTGAAAAATCAATTATCATTAAACCTGAAAGCCCCATTTTCCTGTAATAAAAACTAAAATTTAAGAGTGCACGACTCACGAGTCCTCAAATTTCCCGAAAACTACCATAAATCCTCTTCACCCCCAAAAATGTCACAAATTACAAAATAAAATGACACTCCGACATGCTATCACCACCTAGAACTTCTTTATGACTTGGTAATTGTGAACACCACGGAGCAATTGCTCTTTAATCTTAAAGACAAAGTTTCACGAGTGCCAGTGAGATTGCACTATAAAATAAAAGGGCACCGTGATGTCGATCTCGACCGGTGCTACATCATCCAAAAAGCCCGCGGGGGTTTGGAAAACGAGAAGAATAACGCGGGATAAAAAAAACGAAAAAACCGAAGGTAGTGCGTGTTCACGGACCTGGTGAGAGAGGAATGTTGAAGCCACACGAAAACGTCCAAGAATCAACTTTATATCCGCGTGGCCTCAATAAAGACGAGCCCCCGGCATCTTATCGTGGCCACTTCCTCCTCTTTCTAGCTTGCCTCATCCCTCCCTGACTTTTTGGACGAGAGGAACCCGAACTCGTCTTATCTCGCTTCCGTTATTTCCACTAGGTTCTTGAAGCACGTACAGGCACGAGAGATCTAAAAGGCGACCACTGAGATGGGCAAGATCCATGGCATTTACTCGCGGTTATGGTCCCTTAGGAGAGAGAGAGAGAGAGAGAAAAAACGATGGAAAGATGAGGGAAAGGCTTAGGCCTAGAAGTTAAGTAACAAAGCGTAAAGTGCTCTCGTGCTTTCACTCCTCAGACTTGGTTGACCAACTCGGCGATAAAGTTACTTGGAAACTGTTGGGGTGGGATGTCCCCATTTCAAACCCGTCATAATCGATGGATTCGTTTTATGGCCTCGATATATCCGGTAATTTAATTAAGCTACAGATGTCATCGCGATGATAGGGTGACACTCTCGGAGATGATTTCCAATTTAATTATCAAGATACGGGGACTCGTGGTGATTGTCTCATTAAGAAAATTTCGGTGGGCGACTTATGAATTGTTTTTTACTGATTAATTACCTCGGAAATTGTGGCATTCTCGTCGGATAGTTTTTTTCTTTTTCGGAGACTTTTCAACTGCAATGGAAATTTTTCCAAAATCAATACGAAATCCGTGCAAACAATTTGGTCCCTCGTATTGGAATCTACAATAGCGAAAATCCATGTGTAACTAGTGAGTAAAATAAAAATGAAAATAGAGGGGAGTGAATTGTTGAAATGCCGAGGAAAATTCGAAATGAATAAAAATGTCAGTTGAATTTTATCAATTTCTTCAGGTTGAGGGGATTCACAAAAAATGTGGGGGATTTGGAATTTAAGGTGAGGGAATTTGCTGAACAAAGTAAGTGGGAATAAAACAAATTACCCAGTGTGTATCTCTCGTGTTTCACAGTGCCTTAGAGTTATCAGTTTTTTTTTTTCCTCTGCTCAAATTCCCTCGCTGGAGGTGGATAAAAAGACAACAGAGGAGAAAATCCTGTGCATTTGTATTCACGTATCTCGGAGTTCTGAGGTTGTAGAGTATAAACAAAATAATTTAGTACATGGATTATTACCTTGCTGAGGGTAATCCTGAGTCAATCATAAACTTCAATCTAAACTCTAGATGAATTTAGAGATGCAGAACGATTAAATAGTTTGGCAAATTTACACACGATTGAGTAATCATTCGTACTCGAGAATTCAATGATAACGTGGAAATTTTACCGCGGGAGTTTGTACAAATAACAGGAAATTCATTTCGCATTGGGAACAAATACCTGGGAGATATTGACAGAATGGGTACATCGGGATGAGATAGAAATAGAAATGACACTTCGATTACAATTCGAAAGGGAGAAATATATTTTTCATTACTTCATTCCTAGACAATAAATTTATTTATCAATTCACTCATCAGAATTTAATTTTCACATGAACATTTTGTTTTATCCACCCAGAAGATAATTAAACCTCCAATTTTTATCTAGCTAGAGTTTATCCAATTGAGGCAAGACAAATTCATTGGAGATTTTCAATAAAAATTACACCGAGTCACATTATTTCACAGTATAACCCGCACACAATTCTCACGCTACACATTCGGTAATTTTTCATAGTTCTCTGCAGTGTTCGAATCAGTATGGAGATCAGCAAAAAATACGTGACACAGAATCGTAATTCATCCACATGGGAGTCAATTTTTATGCGACGCTCTCCGAAGGTTCGCGATAAAAATTGTCTTTTTTTTTTTAAATTTGAATGACGCTCCTCCGCGATTGCATTGCGGGACATTTCCGGGGTGTTTTATTATCCTTTTTGAACAATTCTTATTAGACTTGCCTGCATGGGGATCGATTCATCACACAAAAGTCTTTTGATTTACGTGCGAGAGGGACTATACGCGGAGAAAGAATTACAAAATCTGTCTGACAAAATTGGGGAAAAAATTCACCCGATTTAGAGCGCCGTAAAAATTCCAATGTTTGTAATAAAAAATTGTTTAACGACCGGTAATGTTCAGCCATGTACAGCACGCGGAGATTCATTGATGAATTTATAAATTATCTGCTATTTTGTTTTAAAATATTCCATTTTCATGGATTTTTAATAAATAAGAAGGAATAATAGTAATAAATAATAATATTTCACAAACTACTCAGAAATATTGTGAGAGGTTTCACTTTTTGGGCAGTATAACAAATTTGTAATTTCATTTCGTGTCATACTCTGGCGTAATATTTTGGCAAATTATATTTACACATGAAATCCTGATGAATAAATTAATAATAACTCACGATTGGATTATTAAATAAAAGAGTATATTCAAACATCCGGTGCTGCACATTTCAGAACGCTTCACCTACATTTTCCCCAAGAATTATTTCGATAGGTTTGAAAGAAAAATTCCACCAGTGTAATTTTTTTTTCTACTACCGATAAATTTCCCGGGAAAGCGTTTCCACGGAGTTCTGGATGCGGGCAAGCTAATTTCTCCCCAATTTTTTTTTCTCCGCGTTTCCATCCCACAAATAGCATCTGTGATGTGTCCTGACCGTTCTTTGTAGAAATCCATCGGCTTTATTCCTAAATCAAGTATCATGAAATCAGGGCATCAAGATTACCCATAATCCCCAGCGATACAGCCCACATGCCGATGATAAATTTGAAAATCATCATATTTTTATCCATCGTACTTTATCCCCTCTCGGGAGTGGTCATGAAAAATAATAGCTACCCATCACTTCATAAAATTCAGCCTTATGTTCTACTGATCGTTTAGGCCGAAAAATAATAATAACCTGAACATATCTTGGGGTCTAAACAATCTCGTCCGGACAAACAAAAATTTAAGCTGGAAATATTTTTTTCAAATTTCTCGAAAAATTTCTGGAAAACTTTTGAGCATTTTCTCATAAAAAAAACGAAAACAAGAAAAAATAATTTTTGAAAAATCTTTCAAAAACAATTCAGATATTTTCTTCGACCGAAATTTTTCCGTCAGAAAAAAGCGTTTTCTAAAAGTTTTTCAAACATTTCCCGAGAATTTCCCGCCGTAGCACAATTTTTTTACCCGAGGGGGAGGGGTCGATGGTGATTTATAATTCGTGGGTAACACACCCCCGTGGATAAAAATACAGTGCATGACAACGAGATAAAGATGGTTGACGATGGTATCGAGTGGTTTGGCTTCCTGCAGTGTCTTATCTGCAGAAACCGCCCCCTCTATCCGTGATATTCATTGCCACCCCCATTTGCCTCCACCCCCTTTTCACCTCTGAAAGCAAGTCTCGGATAAGGGGAAGGAGGTATACCATGAGGACCTCCTTCCTGTCACGCTTCGGTTACCATTCACCATATATTTCATTCGTACACTATCACGCTCGTACTGACACACTCATGCATCTTCTCCCATTGATTACGAGAAAAAGAAATAAATAAGAAATGATGGTGGGGTATATTCTCTTGGTTCCAAAATGTTTATCGCTCTCTGCTTCAGTGGCGATGATTTAAAAAAGCCAGTAGACTCGCCAAAAATATCACGAATGGTGGATTACCTATTCTCAGCTGTCCACCATGCTGCATTGCAGCTGGATGCTCTCCTTTGGAAAATTCAATTCAATAATTTTTAAAAGGTTTTTATCAGTCCACCAACTGCTAAGGATATCCCAGCACTTTCTACCTTCCAATTATTCTATTATCGTATTTCTTTTCATCAAATTCTCTCCAATTCTCTCTGAATTTATTCAATTGGTAAAATTACTCAAACAGTGAAATATCAAATCGATTTTTAAAAAGCCTTTATTAATTGATGAGCTTTAAGGAGTGACTTGGATATCCTTAATTGAGATGTGCAATAGTCAAACAGTTAAAGTCAATTTCAACCCGTCAGCTTTCGATTAATATCTCGGAATATAAGAGGAGATGTTTCTTCTGGAGAGAGAAACGAGAGGAGTCGAGTCAGATAAAAGTTTTTCCATCTCTTTTATATTACGAGATAACAGACACTCGGCGGAAATCTGCGTCATCTGAAACTGTTTGACTTCATTGAATTATCAATCAATAATCCATCAATTACTGTCCGAGTGGAATAAAGGAATGAAAGCAGTCTGTACACATGGAGACATAATCAGTCAAAATTACGGAACTATTGACAGCATCCGAAATGGAGAATCGTCTAATGGCAATTTTTATAGGAATGGAGAAGAAGAAATCTGAAACGTTCAGCGAATTCTCAGGTTTATCGTCGAATAAAGGATGAAATTGTCATCTTATTTTTCCCCAAGAAGCTAAATCTTAGAAAAGCTTCTCGAGTTACGGGAAAAAAATTATTGGAATAGGATCATATAACAATCATTATTTAAAATATTTATTTGAAAGATATAATACACTATATTCATATTATATTTATTTATTAGTGTACGTCAAAATCCAAAACTTCAACAAATTGTGATTTCCGACAGATAGTTTAAAAATTCTAAAAAAATGAATGCATCAAATTTTTAGAAGAATTTCAGAAAATATTAATGTTTTTAGTCTCCATGTAACAGTAGGGATAGTTTGGAAAATGAGGTAATGAGTGTATGGGTCATATTAAAATGATAAAAAAGAATATGAAAATCCTCTATTCCACTCATTTTGAAAGTCAAACAATTGACTTACCATTTAAAACATGAACAGTAACGCTCTTCTCATTAGCATTACTGGGATGACAGGTGTACCTTCCGCTGTCAGCTGGTTGAGCGCGCTGAACAAGCAGATAGGAGGTTGTAATCTCACCCTTTTCCGTAATCACCGAGACTCCACCCCTCGGGCTGTCATAATTAATCTCCTGTTCAAGATATCAAATACAAACTTTTATTGAATATGTCTCTGACGAGTAGAATAGAGTTTAAACACTTGAAATTGGTGAAACGCTTTTACCAGATATTGTGCAACGTTTACCCGAGGGCTTGAGAGCCCACAGGAACCAGGTGGAGTGAGTGGGTGGGAAAAGGGGGTAGCAAGTGGGTGGGACCACAGAGAGATGACAGTCCAATGTTGGGAGACTGTTTCCAGAATGAGAAGGACTTGCGTCGATATCCATTTCACGTACACCAGGAGGGATAGAGAGAGATGGAAAGAGATGGGGAGAGATGGAGAGAGATGGGGAGAGATGGGGAGAGATGGGGAGAGATGGGGGTAGATGAGGAGAAATGGGATGGGGATGAAAAGGGGGTGTAAAGGGATGATGGAGATGTGAAAGAGAGGGAGGGGTGATGGAGGAGGATGAGGTAAGGGGGGAAGAAAGCGGTTTATGGTGTCTACTAAGATGGAAATGAGGGGAAACTATATTTGTCGACTCACCTCTTCATTGTGAGTCCAATAAATGGCCGGAGGTGGTTCTGGGCTGTGACGTACCACGCACGTCAGATTCATCGTACTACCTCTGTTTATGTACATTTCCGGCTCACCTACAACTGTCGTCACGGGTTCTGGAAAATTTTCCAAGATATACACGGGTTATACTCTTGAGGTTTGTTGGGGGCAAATTTGGAAATGCTTGCTGAGTCGATTTACTTGAGGAGGGGGCAGTCATTAGTGGGCCTCGGGGGGAACTGGGGAAATCCCTGTTTGAACGGATAGTTGCGAGCGGAAGTTGTAATTTTTAGGGCTGTTGAAGTGGTTCGAGAAGCGGTTGGGGTTAATTGGGTGAGGAGATCCGGGCCAACCGGAAGACCTATGGGGAGGGTAATATTACAGTTTCTTTGTGTGATTTGCACTGAGTGATGTGTATGGTGTGGGTTTCGTCGGTTAGTGTCGAGAATTTATGGGCCTTCATCGAAGGACATTAATGTTTGATGGCTGCCTGTAAATACGGTTTCTAGTTAATGATCGCGTGGGTTGTGTACATGATTTGCAATTGGACAATTTTTGCTGTGGTCTTTTTTAGGAACTCGTTATGATTCGGAAAATTTAAAGTTACCATTTTTGTATACGCGACAGGTACCGATAGTTCTATTGGATATTAACATTTGGGTCGCGCTTTACGCGTTATAATTACATATATAATATATGCATATATAAATATTTTTAAAATTGATAACGAGAAAATGGTGAATTCATCATTTTGTCATTGCAATAATATAGATGATAATTATCAGAAAGAATATTATTCTCATGATCTAATGTAGATTTTTTTTTTTTTTAAGAAAGAAGAATTTTTAAAAATTTAATTATCTTTGCTGGTCAATTTTCACGATAAGAAGGAAAATCTCCAATTGTCCCGAATTTTCGGGAAGAATGAGAGCGCAAGTGTGCGTTTTCAATTAAAATTGAATAGAAACTCAGATAATTGGAACTTCAGTTGATATTACGCCAGAAATTACGGTAAATTTCTAACAGTGTACTTGAACGACGCTGACTTGGAATTTCTGATTAAATTTTCCATCACTGCTGGACTGAACAATCCCCGAGACAGTTTCGGTTATTATTTATATCTGTTTACTCTCTAAACTGCACTCACCACCGTCTCCGTCACCACATCCCCAAAAACGGTGTATTACGGTGTGTTGGAGAATGGAAGTACGTACACAGACGGACAAATAGGTTTTTTTTTGCAACGGTGAGAGTACTTTCCCCACTCGACGAGTTTGCACTCACTGGTGGCGCACGTCAAGCCCAGAATTTCCGTAAATACGCGTTTTCCGGTATGTTGAGATGTCTGGGCTGTCTACGTCACCCCTCTTCCGACAGCTAAATACGCAAGTTGAAGTGTATGTGCTTTCAAAATTTACCCGAAAATGGTCCGAGGAAAAATTCACTCTCACGTACCTCAAATTGAATTACCCCGAGAGAAAATAATATTATTCCTCCTTCCCTCAATGGAAACTCCATATTCCTGCGCAGTCAATAGACTCTTTAGTTCATATATTAGACCATTATGATCTGTAAAGTATGAGATCTGATATTTTACGATAGTTTCTCGGTAATTAATCAACGAGACTCAATCAATTTTTAATGATAACACCTGTGTATTGTTATACCCTGTTCTTGGATATTTATTTAATAATGATGGAATTAGCCATTCGATAATTAATCAATGATTGATGAGATGAGAATGATTGATGAGTATTGGTAATTTAGAAGGTCAATTCAGTAGCGGAGAGGTAAATATTTGTAATTTTGGAGAATAAAAATATTTTTGCCCCGTGTATGAAAACGAAACCATTTTTTTTATTTCTCTACTTTGAAAAACAGAGATTTTACGTGAAATTCGATGAGCACTTGGTCTTTATTTCATATTCTGCTGATGTACTGGTTTTTCATTAACAAAAGTGCAAAAAAAGAACATAATAAAATAATTTGCCTCGAGCAATGGCCGGGGGTTTTTATTTTTTTAAGAGAATTTCGTCCCGGGAAAACAAATTTGAAAAAAAAATGGAAAGCTTTTTTTTTTCTGGAGTTTTCAGGACATGAATTGGTGTGATTTCGGGGAACATCAATTTGGATTGAATATTGCCACAATTTCGACGTTGTGGCTGTTCAAAAATTAATAAAAAATATAAAAACTTACCAACGACTGACAACTGCATCCAGTGGCCAATTGGAGGCGTCGTTGACACTTGACACTCATAAGTGCCCGAATCTCGTCGTTGAGAATATTTCACTTCTAGTGTCCAATCCTCTGTTCTTGGATAATGCGATGCAATAAATCGCTGGTCCGAGGTGTATGTGTCGACACCCACTGTCAGTAGGTGAATGTCTCGATGTCTCACCCATGACACCTGTCATTCAAACAGAAAACACAAGAAAAAAAAATTAATTAAAGAAAGAAAAGCTACACTCCTATATCAAGTGTTTTTTTCTTAATTTACTGATGTTTTTTTTATTTATTAGTAAAAAAAAATCAATTTTATTGCAGAAATTTCCGATCCTTTTTCCTATAGACAAAACTCTGACGCACTTGTGCACAGTAATAAAACTAATTGTTAACAAATGAATTTGGTTGAAGGATAAAGTGATTTGATGTATACAACTGCTCACTCGTTAATTAATCACGACTGCGTAATTGAGATACCTTGATTCACTGAATTTTTACACTATAAATGAATCATTCGTTAATAATTAACACACTTCGTTTAGAATAAATGAAGCTTTCTGTGAATTCTGGGAAAAATTTCCGTGCTGGCACTGATAATTTCCCTGACAAACACCCGAACTCTCGCTCGTTATTATATGAAACATTCACATTTTAGTTTCCAAGAATTTATCCTAAAAATATTCCGATGTCAAAACGACAATTATAATTATCTTTATCAATTTTAACAAACTACGCCGACACTACGTCGATTTAATTTCAATTTCCTGTCAAATATTTCCGCTTTTCCACTAGGCTACACAATTTTTTTTTGTTCTCGAATCCTTTAAATAATCTTCCCTCCATGCATGAAATTTCAATGCTACCAAACAATGCCCCGAGCGATCCTCAATGCAAAACAAATCATTGTTTAATTTTCACTGAATTTTCCGGGCATTCTCCAGTAAACATCAGCTATCAACCTCATACACATCAAAATTTGATCGTCCATGATCAATATCCCTCTATAATAGGGCAAATCCATAATAAATATTGTTAGTAATTTACAACGATTGATCGCAATATAAAATTGATCGCCGCCATAACAATGGGTGGACAGTTAAAAGCACGAGGGACATTGGCCCCTAAATTTTCCCGACCGATCGCTGAAATATCAGATAAAATTTTATTGAACACAGCATCGGTGACATGATACGAACAACTCGCGTGCAACAAGCGTCAGGTGATTAAATGTTTTTTTTTGTATGATTATTTGACATCGCTTCGACTCTGTTAGAATATAAGGTGCCTGAATTATTTAAGGATGCCTGAATTTTAATTAACTAAGATTTCACATTTCACATTTCTACCCGGCCAGGACTCGAACCTGGAACCTATCCCTTGTGAGGACTTAAAAAAAACTCGAGTAACTTAACTACTACACCAGGCCATTTATTATTATATACCATTCATATTATTATATACCAGCCTTATTATAAATACATATGGTAAAAATGTCTGATACTGAATGCTGAAATTTCCAGGTTGCGGTGGGTGGGGGCTAGGGAAAAGTCCAGGGGATATTGAACGGTTTTGTACGCGCATCATCGAGACTCTATAACCCCCATGCGGTGTTTCCCAGTCTATACTTCGACGATTGTTGTCGATAGATAGAATTAATCGAATTGAACACTTCACAGATGCGATACCATTTCGCTTCTCTATTTATTCATGATTTTTTATACATTACCGGGATCCATTTCATACTCCTTTCATTATTTCTTTTTACGAATGGACGCAGAACACTCAGCGCTTAAAATCCCCGGTATCAAGAGAAGATTTTTTATTTGATTCGATTTTAAACAATAGATTTTGACTCAATCATCAATAAATCAAATTAATTTTATATTTTCATTTAACAATTGAATATTTACTGGATAATAAACTAAAGTTTATGAAACATAAATACGTAATGAATGAAGAATCGATAAATCGAAGAGAAATAAAAAATTAGCGATTCATATAGGTATTTATATTGAGATAAAAATAGGGATTTTTGAAAAAAGTATTTAAGGATCCATCTTTACATCGATATTTGAAGATCGATTGGTAAGATTCGATATATTACATATATTTAACAGTGGATATTTCATGATAGATAATTAGATAAATCGATTGTATTGATATATCGGATCGGTGGTGAAATTGGAAAGAAGTGTAGGATGCGATAAATCGAATTTAAGTTTGCAGAAGATAATCAATTATTCTGCAAATCGATTTAAAAGCAAAGGTTTACCAGAAATTTCACACGAATATTTTAACGATGGCAATCTATCCCCGAGACGTTCAGAAATCAATGGTTCAATAATTCAGTGGCAAACAGGTAAAACGATTCTAGTCCATTTCGTTCAGACGTCGATTGTCGGCGAAAGTGAAGTCTCGAAACCTAGGCCAAATAACGATTTTTTAAAAAACTATTTTGCAGAGGAGAACGCGAGCAAAAAAAAATCATAGAAAAATCCGTCGTCCGTTTCGCGTTCGAGGGTATTCCCCAAAAAATGGCGCGGAGCTCAATTAATTGAATTATGCCATTAGTTTTATTTTTTAATAACCTCTACGGTTTTATTTGATTGATTTTTTTTTTTTCAATATTTAAACATTCTCTCGAGTGGTAAAAGTATCTCGCGTTCGCTTCGGTTCGAGCGTGTGCTCTTCGGAGTGGAGTGAAGTGGAGGTGATTTTTTTTTCACTCGATATAATGCAACTTTGAATATAACGAAAGTTTTCCACTTGAAGAGAATAGATTTCGAGAGCTGACCTGAATATGAGACTAAATATTTGCACGGAAAAATACACTTGTCGAACAGGTTGATTTTTCATTCGAACACGGTAAAAAAAAAATTGGAGAAAATTTATTAAAGTCTTCAGCTATTTTTGCTCCATGTATATTTAATTATTATTATGAATTTCATAAATTATTTAAGTGAACCTCAAAAAATTACGCGATATTTCGCACAATTTTTAAAGTTGTACTAAACTTTCTTTACCATTAGTCCTCCAAAAATTTTTATTCAACTTTCATTTTATAAAATTTGAATGCAACTTTTCTCTTCGTGGCAGGAAAGCTCTCCGACGAACTTGGAGAATATTGACTGGATATTACGTGAAGCATAAAATGCGGTTGATCGAAAAGTTATCGGTTCATTAATTATCCAAATTTTTGTTCCCCATATCCGCGCTTTTTTCACTGTATCATAATCCTATTTACATATCGTTAATTGAGTAATGAATGAATATTCCGGGAAAATCGTAATCACCGTTCATTACGAATGGACGGAGCTCATGATCGAAACACGGAGAAACACCGATAGATACGGCTGTTCTATTTTTTTTATTTATTTTTTATTGCCCATCCATTGAATATCGACAGAAATTCGCCAAATTTGTTCATTGTACGTTGTTACATTTTTACGGCGAAGATATGAAAATTTTATGCCATCAATCATGAAAAATTTAATGCACAAATGTTGTCAACCACTTTCGAAAAGGATTTGCGATTAAATCCATGAAATGAAAAATTTCCATTATTCACAGGATTACAACCTAATATTAAAGAAACAAACAAATTTTCCGAAGTCCCTGAAATCTGCATTGAAAATTCATTGAATTTTTTCTTTTAATTAATGAAGACTACAACATTTCCAATATTTAAATAATTGACGATAATCCTCCAACCCCATGAATTTTCCACTCAAATAAATTTCCAAAAAAGTCGTCACCTAAATTTCCCCGCTATTCACTACTTCCACGAAAAAATAATAAATAATAATTGATCAATAGTTTCCAGTATGTATTGATGTTTCAAGCGAAATAATGAATATTCAATTCCAAAAATCCCGTAAATTTCCGTGTGAGTATATATTTCGGTCAAGAAACCGGCAGTACACTCTACTACGGATTCGTTTAAATGCCTTCCGATTTCATGAAATGGGTTGTGCGGTGGTGTTTCCACGAAAAAAAATTAAAAGACCCCGACGAAAGAAAAATCCAATTGGCCAACGCAATTATCGTCTAACAATATCGTATTAGCATTGCTCCCCAAGTGGCCTCCAAGGTGGAGTAATGAGTTCCGGCAATTCGATTCACCAATGTCGCAACCAGTGACCGTAAGGCTGATAACTGCCGGCCCATTTCTACTGAGCTATGACCTGTCTCCGCTGACATAGCATTACACAGTGCTCCCATGGAACAGTATGAACACCATACTACCGCCCATAACCACCCACAACCATCCACAACCACCCACAACCAGCCCCATCTACCCTCCCCCGTCTATCCATTTGATATAGATAAAAATATAAATGAATTACCGATAAATTAATCGTTGTCAAATATCACGACACAATGATTGGACATAATTTCAAGTGGAATACTTTATTTCATATAGCTCCAAGTGATTTCGCATGAAATTGCTTGCAGGTGGTTTCCCATTTCCCACGGTTTCCCATTTTTCCATGGTTTTTCCATGATTTTCCCATGATTTTCTATGGCATTTTAATTCTGAGTGACGCACTGATTTCACAAATGAAGAGCCCCCCCCTAATTATGCTCGCGGAGAGAATATATGCTAATAATCGCATGTGACATATATGGGATGTATATATATACTAGATTTTCCGCGGAAATATATGTAATTTATATATGTTTCGTAAATATACCGTTTTTGTTGCGGGTATATTCAAATGTTGTAAAAAAAAATGAAATATTTCACATGCATGTCATATTTGCATGTATATTCTTTGGGGTGAAGGGAAAAATACGGGGAGACAAAAAAATTCCATCAACCAACAGCTGATTTTACCTCCATTTGTCTCGTAGATCATGATATCATTTTCCGAAAGAGCAAAAAGATTTTTAAACAAAATTTTTGGGCTCTTCACCCGAGGGGGTTCATCTAGAATCTTGAGGAGATTAAAAAAAAATCCCGGGGGAAAAAAAATGTAATCAGAATATTTTATCCAAATTTTCAAAATATTTCTGGAAGACTTTTTAGAATTTTTTTTTATGGAACAGAAAAAAAGTCGGAAATAAAACAATTTTATTTTCGGGAAAGGTTTTGAAAAATTTTTTAAAAATTTAAATAGGATTTTTTTTTTATAATTTAAATGGCGTATTGTTTGAGATGTTGAAAAATTAAAAAAGTAAGAA